GATAGTTCGTGGAGCCCAAGATGCCTTGTCTTCCGGAGGTTTCGTGTTTCGGATTTATTCGATTTTCCCGGATCTCCTCGGAGTTTTTCTCTCGTCCCAAGTATTTTACTTTGGAGACTCCCATACGGAGCTTGCCCGGATTGAGCTTCAGGTTTCCCTCTCGACAGCGCTTGAAATACTCCCTCAGGTCAGAAAGATTTTCCTCGTGGCTTTCTCCACGTATTAGGATGTCATCAACGATGACCGACTGGGCGGGTGGATGGTCACGGTCTTAGAAACCACACTCTTGAGGGGTCTTCCTCTTTTTCCGAGCACTGAGGTTCCGTCTAGCACTTCTGTCGTACTTCATTCGCGCACCTTAAATCTTGTTGACGGAGTGCTCGCTCTCTCGCCGGTTTTCGGCTGCAGCGCTGACTGCGGTTTCGGCGGAGCTCGGGCCCGTGAACGCGGAGCGTCCGAGAACATCCAAAATGTTCGAGTTCTGTTCTATTGCTTTGTAGTAGCTTCTCTTCAAGATCTGTGCTGGACACACCGAGTACCAACCTGTCTCGGATCAGTCCTTAGAATCTGCTTGAAAATCGCAGTTTCCAGCGACTACCATGACTCTCTCTATGAAGCGCTCGACCTCCGCTCAAGCATATGATGAAATTTTGTTTCCTACAGTTTTTCTTTCCGTAAGCATCGAGACGATGCTTCTTCTCCGCGCTCTTCTCCTCGCTTGCCTTCAAAGTTGCAATCTCCTCTGGTATCCCACCGGGAACACCCGCATGGAGAGCGCGGAGCTTTGATCTAGCGGCCCAGGGCTGCATGGAGTCGGGCTGTGTGCTTTCGGGGGTTTCCGCGAGAAGGTCGTCGGAGGCGTAGTTCAGGAAATCCTCCTTGCGCTCGAGCCATTGCTTGGCGAATAGGGGAAGCGGGCGTGCAAAGGGTAATTCTATTTTCACAAAGACCGACATCATGAATTTTCCGGGACTTTAACCCCTTTTGACACCACTTTGTGCTCAAGAAACTACGGTCGGAAGTCGGTGATGCGAGTTTGATGGAGCTCATCGATGACACGGATTTATCGATGTATCGTCAGGTAGCGCTGTGCGTTTAGGCGACCTTATTAGAATCCACTCACAAACAGCTCTCGCCGCTCGAGAGACCCGACGGGGTGCTCAACTGTGCCGGAATAGCCTTCCAACGTGTTAGCTCATTAGACAGATCGCAATTACCGTAAGAATTCCAGTACGGGCCCCTCTCCAATAGTAGCCCGTCTCCGATAGAAGCCCCTCGGCGGGATTTTCGAGTCGAACAAAAGCCTCACTCCAATAGCAGACCTTCTCGGGCAGGAGCCCTTCAAGGGGAATCGAGTCAGATTTCCGAGAAGCTCTGGTCCAGAACACACCTCGAGTTTCAGGAGTCACGCGAAATCCAGCTTCCTGAAGTCTCTTCTTCCTTTTCACCGTCATTGCACATCTGCGCGTAGAATCATGAGGAGCGCGGGCTTGTATTGGAATATCTACGGCATACGAATCAAAGTACGAACGTACGTACATTGGGTTTGCATCAGACGCTCTCGGCTGCTGCGAACAGAAAAAGAAACAGATTGTGCGAAAAAGACATGTTCAAGGAATGAATGAGACCAGAAAAAGGGTGGATTCAAGAGCGGTTCTGCATCATTCGGAGATATCGGCTCGCACTCGGAATTAGGCATATTCCGATATATATCCTCGAATACCTCTCGAATTCGTTTCCGTGCGCGTCCCCAGATGGAGCTCCTCCTCGGGACGATGTGCAGCTCCCGAAGTGAAGACCTATGGTTTCGTCATGAAATGAGTTGAGCGGCGGCTTCGCACCCCGAGAAGGAGGAACTTCAACGCCGAGAAAAATCTTCGATATACCCACATTCTTATTCACCCGAGTTTGGGTGTCGTCACCGCACCTGTTGTCGTCAGTAAGCAAAAATTCTCATACATAGATTCATCCTTAAAAATACCGGTAGTGGCACGAGAGCGAGCTCAGAATCCCTCCCGGGCCACAAATGAGACTCTCCCCGCCGGAAGGAAAGGCAAGAAGCGCTCGCGAAGGAAAATTTCCGGCAAATATATCCACGATGCCTTGCTCAATAGTATCTCCGATTCGCCGGATGATATTATCCTTCTCCTTCAAGCTGCGCAACTCCTTGGCGTCGAGTCTCCCCAGCCAGGACAATCGGCACTCTTCTCGACTATCGCGACTTTCCCTTCAGCTGCGAGCCCCCGGCTCGGCCTGGAGCTTGTCGCACCACATCACTGTCCGTGTGGAGTGGATGTTCTACCGAGGGCTCTTCATAGTTTGAGAATAGGTGGACAGAGTATAACTTTGGGATAATTAGGTGTCAAACTCGAATTCGGGGCGGGCTGTTCCCGGATGCTGGAACGGTTCGCGGGTCGAATCGGAGTTCCATCTCCGATCGAGGTAAAAACACAGTTTGGGGAGCGCCATCGGACAACAAGATGCCTTCAGTTTATTCGCTTTCTTGGAATTCGATAACCTCCCGTATTTGACGAGGAACATGGATATTTTTCCTGTCATCGTTTGCCTGCGGACCATGTAAGACGCCTCACGACCTCCATTACCCCTGAAGTCTCCGATTCTAAAGAGGTCGTGGCGGTGCGCGACGCTGCTACTAGACGAGACTGTCTCATCCGAGACCTCGTCACCGATTTCATGTTCTTCATCCTCAAAAAGTATCGTTCGCAAAGACATGTACTCCCGAAGACTGCCAGCGTATTCATTGCATTCCTTCGGGTTCCCGTATGGTCCTCTGGGGTTAACGACTCGTAAAAACGGGAGAGTTCTACCGTCGCAAACTTGTTTCGAAGATCGGTGTTGTTTTGAGGCTCGGCTAGCTGTCCGCTGCCACTGCGACATCCATGGTGAAAGGAGAAGAAAAGCGGAGCATTCGGTCTTCGAGTACCCGGACGTCTTTCTCCGAAAAGCTTCTTGAACTCTGTTTCCAAGCTCTTCAGAATGAGTACGTCGGATTCATAGCCATACTACCCCAGATCTACCCTTTCCGCGAGGTGGGGTAGATCAGCCGAGCTCCCTCGGCAGGTCAACACTTCTGTGGTGAACCGGTGGTCTTCAACTCCGCCGTGATAGGCTTCAACGAGCCCGGCAGTGGGGTTGAGCCGGGGCTTGTCATCTAGGGACAGTCGACCGCCATTGCGAAATCCCACAAAGTGCCTCGGAATCATACTATGCTACAGTAGGGACTACCTACGCAGGCGAACAAGAGAAAGAGTTGAAAGAGAATTCCACGGTAGCGCTCAGACGAATGTGCACCACGTCGCTGTGGGACTTCAACAGATTCGAGATGACCGAGGGACAGTGGAAAGCGACGCCACCCTCCAAACTTTCGAGGTCCCTTCCGTCAAGCGTCGCCGCCAGATGGCCAGCGGATGGGAGATGTTCGGCCCTGGCGGTGACGCTTCCGTTTTACGTGAAAGGAACTTATTTTAGCAGGTCTTGCACCTCTCTGTGCCGTTCACTGGTTCTTTGAAATGACTCTTCATCCTTTCCTCGGGTGGAAAACGGAGAAATATGTCGGAAAGTGTGCGTAATCCAGATTGCTTTGGTAGGAGACTCCGGGTTCCTGATCAGAGGGGGGTGGGTTTGAATCTTCGGAGACCGAGTCTCGAAGATGCCCCTTTCGAACTCTGCAACTTCTGCTGCTTTGGACCGAGCTGAATGTTAACATCTCGGGTATCGCCAGTGGCTTTGCTCCCGGGAACGAGTCTAGAGAGCAATAACGGTGCCCTGGAAGATCGACGCCGAGGACATGCGGCTCCGGAGATTCCGTGAAGAAAATCCGTCGGCAGCAGGAATCGTATCCGCGCCGGCGCCGTGTCCCGCGTGATCGGCGTCACTCCACGAATTGTAAGAGGCCTTTCACGAGGTGGCTCCGACGAATGAAGGGGAGGAATGCACGAGAAGGGTCAGACGCGCTAGCCACCCGCCGTAATAATAACACCCGCCGGTCAGGATAGGGCTCTAGCTGTCGGCATACCGGCTCCAAGTCTGGTCCGGATCCCTAAGCTTCAGCGATGTTGATATCATCGTTATAGAACGCGAATGCGATGGGGAAATTCGAGGTTTCACTCTCCTCCACGTGAGCACGGCCCAAGCGAGAATCCTCGGATTCAGTTTGGCATGTTGCACCGGTGTCTGCAAGTCGCGAACATCCTCCCGAAACGCGAGCCACTATTATCCTGGAGATTGGAACTTTCTCTTGAGGGATTTTCCCATAAGAGGCTCATCGTCGCGGATTCTTGAGGATTCATGAGGATTTTGCGGGGTCTGGAGTCAAGAGCGCGGAGTTTCGTCCTTGAATTTCCGGGATTTCGCTGTGCAGATTATGGACAGCCTCGCTTAGCACGTGCTACAGGAGTACTAAGAAATACTTATGGAATACCAATGGGGATCTTCGAACGCGAAATAGGGTACGAGCTAGCCAGCTCCACCCAATTTTGAATTCTAGCGCCGAACCCTCGGCTCTCGAGTGTTCTGCTTAGCGGGAGGCCAAGGAACGATTCGATCCGCACTCGTACAATGCACCTCACGACGCACTCTTGACAGCCAAATCAACGATACGTTACAAGACACACAGAGCCGCGAGAGATCGCGATGCGGGATCAGTCGTGCTTCGTCTGACCCGAGACGAGACCAAGAGGCGATCGTTAACTTGGCATTGTTTACGTGTTCTATATCACTTGACTATCGGAGGGAGACTGAGAAGCTGCAAAGCAAGGATTCGGGGGGTCCTCTCTCGGCTTCGGATAGTCTAGGGAGCATCATCCGCTGGTTCGGCATTGTCCCCGGGAGCCCGCGTTCACCTCCCAGGGAGGATATCTTCGGAGCGCCTGGAAGAAGTTTTCGGGCCGCCCGCTCAACATCCGGTGCTAAGCAAAGATCAACAGCATATGTTGACTCCGTTCTTTTGGAACGAAGGTCCCCATAGAATTGGATACGTCCTTTTGGAACGGGATCCTCGTAGGATCACATAAGATCCCCGGACCGTATCTTTCAATATACTTTCTTCCCCCGGGGGAACGACTTACTTCCGTTCCCCGTTTGTGCTGCTGCGACGAGGCGGCGAGCGCTAGTTCGGCTGTTCAGAGCTGGTCAATCGAGTGTCGAAAGTGTAGTCTGTCAGAATTTTGACGGAGCTGTGACCCACGGAAAAGTGAGCTGCTCCAGCAGGCATTCGGGATGATGTGACAGCTGCAAGTGCGGAATTCTGAACTCGGTTCGCATCGTGATGGAGGCTGAGCGAATTTTGCTGTCTACGGTCGAAGATGCCGAGAAGCGAAGACAGCAGGAGCACGAACATCTCCTTAAGGAGATCGAAACTAGCGATTCAACATCCGTCGGTCATGTTCTCAGGTAAAATCAGCGCGCTCGGAAACCACTAGAGTGAGATAAGCAGATCGACACGCTGGTCCCCCGAATCGCTCGGGACTGTCATCATTGCCCTTTCAGCTTTCTGTTTACATCTCAGACGTTCTCATTGTTCCCGCTCGGTCTGATGATTATCTAAGTCAGCGAACGCCCAGATCGGCTTTTCACGGCACGTGACACCCATGATCGGATGACGGCAATAATTCCCCGAGAAGTCTGCCTCCGCGGGCAAGCGGTCTCCGAGATTTTCCGAGGGGTCTCCTGGCTTCCGGTCTCACCTACGAGCCTTGAGAGACATCGACCTCCCGGACTAGCGCAAGGGAATCCGCGAAAGTCCTGGTCTGATACCGCAGCGTCTGTCATGCGGTTTCGCCGATGAGCAAAAACACTGAATGCTGGTTGGAGCAGCTAATTCTAGAGAAGCACAATCATTAGCTCGGCCAAGATTCGGCGCCCGCGAATTCACCTGTTTCGCTCTTGAATTGCCTACTCTTCGTAGAAACAAGAGATTCCAACGGCACTCGTCAGCTCGTCACGCAGGCATTACATCAGCTCACCGGATGGAAGAATTCGGGAGGATGAGAGGGTGACAAACCCGGATTTCTGGTCGGTAGAGCAATGTTGCTCTGACAATAACTGCCAATTATCCTCAGGACAACAGTTCTGAATCGCAGCGAGACGGCCTTGATTTATGCAAGAAGTCAGTTTCCGGACTTCCTGCGAGCGGGAAGTTATTCCGACGGATTCTCCGAAGCGTCGATTTTTCTCTTTGAGTATCGGTATGCTCCTTCTTTGATTTTGCTCATTGTTCTTCTTTTCTTTCTTAAGAGCCATCTACGATGGGGACGATCACGCGAAGTTTTTGGAGAAACTCCGGGCGCGTATCGACGAGCATTCGGGTGATATCCAGAAAATGTGCAACTTCCATTACCAAGGTTTCATCGATTCAATCAACGAATTGCTGCAAGTCAAAAGTCAAGCTGCCAAGCTCAAGGTCTGTCTAATCTTTAATCTAGAATCTCCCAGCCCCTATCCGAGTTTTGTGATCGCATCTGAGAGCGTCGGATGATGTCTGATATTTCTTCCGTGTAGAAAGAAGTCTCTGAGATCCACCAAGAGCTTGGTCACAGCACGGAAACAGCCCTGGCTAAGGGTGAAGCTCTTGTCAAAGTACGGAGAACCCAATGCAATATCAAGGCCGCGATAGAGGCGCTGTCCGTTTGTCTACCCGTGCTAGACATGTACTCGAAATTGTCGGACCAGATGAGCGAGAAACGGTTGGTGATAAGAATCACGAAACAAAAATATCTCTGTATAGCTCCGCCGAAATCCTCCGAAATGACGCTTAGAGACCATGTTCTGAATTTCCAGCTACTACCCGGCTCTGAAAACCATCGAACTCTTGGAGCACACTTATCTGCCTCTGATAAAGAAACACAAGTTCGCGAGCGCAATGGAGCAGAAATTACCTCGCTTCAGGAAACATATCGAAGAGGCCAGCATGACGGAGCTCAAAGATTTTCTCGAAAGTATCCACGAGTATTCGGCCCGCATTGGACAGAGCGCCATACAACAGGTATCTAATGCTGGTTTATCCTCGAACTTATCTCCAGCTGTTCGATCGATGTTGTCGCTCATCTTTCATCATCATTAGGGCTGGGAAGTAGGCGCGATCGCGCCAAAAGCCGTGAATTTTCACGGTATTTTCAGGCGATCCTCCGTAGGAAGACAATGGGGGGTGAAAATTGCCGTAAATTTTCGAGAAGAATATTTCCGTGAATTCCCAGCTTTAATCATCATGAACCAAATGATCACCACTTCCGGGAAACGACTAATGTCTCTGTGAAATTCCAGGCGACCGAGCAATATCATCGAGAAGTTGATGGCCTTGTGAATGGTTCCGTCAGCGGCGCAGTGAAGCTCAAAACGAAATCCGATCTTGACGACGGTCTCGGGAAAGGGGCTCAAGATATCGTTGACTTCAGTCCCGTGTACCGCTGCTACCATATATTCACAGTTCTAGGAGTCGGAGAGAAATTCCAGGAATACTATCAGAGCAGCCGCGCTGAACAGGCGAAAATAGCTCTAACGCCTTCAGTGAATACTTTATCTTCGCTTGATGGGTATCGTCAGTACTTCAATGAAGTCACAGGATTCTTCGTTGTTGAGGAACACATCGCACATACTGCTGGAGGCCTCCTGTCTCAGAATGATTTGGCAGCCTCGTGGGCCGAAGCTGTAGAAAGAGTGATAGGTGCCCTCCAGACCAGCACTGGGTATTGTACAGAGGCGCCTATGATCCTCAAAATCAAAACGCTCATCACAATCTTCGCGTACACTCTGAAAGTGAGTTGAGGCCGGAATCTGGCATATCCGAGGATCCTCGCTCGAATCCTCTCCGTTTGGAGAATAAATTCAAATATGAGTTTTGGTTCCAGGGCTACGGCTACAAAGTAGATCCTCTGATGTCGCTTTTGATGGAAGTCTACGAGCATTACAATGAAATTCTCATGAAAATGTGCAAAGATTCCTTCCGCCAACTTTTCGAAGAGGATACGTATCATCCGATGCAAGTCGATACGGAAGAGGAATACTGGTAAGCTGGATCGCCCGGGATGGTGATTCGTAAGGTGATTCCGGGACATGAGTGGATTTCACTTACTGGCTCTCCTGTCCCGCTATCCGTCGAGGATTCTTGACAATATCGAGTATGCCTTTTCTTTTTCAGTCGGGTGCTGAGCAAGTTCCCGTTCAGGGATGAGGTGCTAGAGAGATCTCCCTTCCCGAGGAAGTTTCCGTTTTCCAGTTTCGTACCAGCTGTCTACACGCATGTGAAAGATTTCATCGGCGAATCTCTCAAGTTCCTTCAAGACCTCAATCTAAGGTGCGTACTCCCCCCCTCCTGCGATCGTCGAACAGGTTCTCGTCTTCAAAGAGCGTTTGTTCCATAACCAGAGCTTTTTTCCCCGCCCTCAGTCAATCAGAAATCGAAGACAAGGTTCGCAAGTCCACAAATCTGCTACTCACCCGAACTCTGAGCGGATCCCTGACTGCTCTCATCAAGAAGCCTTCATTGGGTCTCCTCCAGCTGATTCAGATCACGATAAACACAAATTATCTCGAGGATGCGTCATTTTTCCTCGAAGACCACATCCAGTCCATCTTCAAGTGAGTGTTCTGGTCGAGGAGTTGGGCTATTTCATCAGGAGCACAACAAGCAAGACATTCGCTTCGATTATCCACATCTGTATTCCACCAGGTCATCAAGCAATAAGCATCATGTATCGAAGCTGCAAGGCAAATCCACGTTCAAGGACTCGAGGAAAGACGCAGAGGACCAAATCTATGAGCAGATAAAACGAAAAATCGACGAGAGCATCGAATTGGCGAATTACGATTGGCAAGCAACGGAGGCCAAGGGAACCGCGTCGCCCTACATGTTGGATTTGATAGCCTTCCTCAATAATGTCTTCCAAGCTTTCACAAACCTGCCGGTGAGTTCCCGCTCTCAGCAAATTCCAGCTCCGTCTCACATATACATGATTCATGCTTATCCTGGATCCATTCGACTCCATCCGGCGATCTCCCGGACAAACTCTGTTCGTCTCGCATTTGGACCGCATCGTGGACAAATTCGCCGGCGTCGAACAGGGCCCATATCATGGAGTTTTTATTTATGAGGAATTCAGCGCTGGAACTCGATCCGAATCACATCTCCTAATGATGGTCGATGTTTTTTCCCGTCGACGTGAAGCTCCCGAAAATCGTGCAGTCTCCTTTTGGATGGTGCATGGACGCAGTTTGCTTCAGAAATGCATGCCGATTGGAATTTTCGCATTATACGGAGTTTTCAGTTACGGCTCGCGGAACACCATGCGATGATGTCCTTCACCGAATCCGCCGTCCTCAGTTCACTTTCTTTTGGCTTCCGTGGGCGGATACTGAAGCTCTTAGTCGTGACATCGCGAAATTTAGCCGTATAATTAGTGGCGGGGACGTACGTGATCCGAAGTTGTATTTCAGTGTTTGAGTTTTTCAGTTTCCGGAGGAACCTCGTTTCTAACGTTTTATTTCGTTCCCGTTTTTCTTCTCGCGAATCGTCTTGATATGCATGCTGTTCACAGGTTCGATACGATGTCGCCGAATTTAAGGTTCGTACTCTCACAGAAGCCGACTTCTTCCGGTGGCGGTGTCTTTTGAGTCTGTCTGACTTCCTGTCTCTCTTGGGAGAATTCTGTCTGTTCTCCAGACAGGTCCCCGATCCTGTCGCCGGACACCTTCCAGCGATCGATGGTCTGATTACGTGCTTGTTCTTGTGGTTTGTGCGTGGAGAAGCATGTCATTCCAATGCATGTTTTAGCCTTAGTCGTGACACTGTCGGAGCGTGTGTGCTTTGCTCGAACGCCTAATTCAAGAGGTCGTAGCTCAGGGCCTGTATCTTGCTACCGCTGCTTTCAATGAGCTCTCTGGTCGGATTTCGGGGTGATGGGACGCATAAGGAGCTCATCAGAGCGGCTAACATTTATTCAAACTTCATCCTTCTCCATGGAATCTTCTAGGATTTCGTGTAACATACAGGTGACGGATGTTGCGGAATCCGAGGCTGGGACGCGCTATCTGACGTAATAATGTGTTTCAGGACAAAGTGGCTCAGACGGCTTGTATGACCGCTTGCCAACACCTTTCCAAGAGGCTATTGGATCTCCTACGAAACGATGAAGTCAAATCAATATCGACGGGGGCTATCGAACAATTTAATCTCGATCTTATCCAATGTGAGCAATTCGCAAACTCGGAGCCCGTCCAAGGCTTGAAGGACCAAGACGCTCTGCCGCTGTTCTTCGTTGAGCTCCGGCAGCTGGTCGAACTCGTCATGGACGAGGACTGGGCTACTTACGTTCAAGACTACGGCAAGAATAACGTCAAGTACCTGCGAGTCAATGCCATGACTGCTCTAATCATCCTGGAAAAGTGAGCGTCTGTTTCCGCAAGATTTTCCCTCGATCCGATGCCGGTTCTCAATCCCAGTTTCGTTCTCGGCAAACGATTGCACGGTGCCCGTCATTGTCGACATCACTGTCGTTCTAATTCATGGTATCTTCGAACTACAGGGTGTGTGCAGCGGACAAGAAACGCAACACTTTGTTGAACTTCAACCAACGGCAGAAAGAACGGAAGCGTGTTCAAGAGTCAGCCATGAAGCAACTGAGGATGCTGACACAGACGAACGGGATTTTCACGCATAACAACAACGCCCTTTAGTTAGGCGTAGATGTACCGAGAGGCATTGCGTCTCCGCCGCGCATAAGTTCTTGCGAAGACACAATAATGAGTATCTGATGCCATAAGAAACTCCTTGAAGTATCGCCGAGAGCATTTACGTAGACTCTTCGAAGGAGCAACTCCTAGCGGGAACTGCTGGACATGTGGAACGATGTGTTTACTTCAAGTCTGTCTCGGTGGTACTTACAGCGACCGAAGCAGACATATGGATAGACCGTACTCTTTCGTTCGTCAGCGAAAATATTGAGGTCACAAAGAGCTAGTTCTCAAGATCAGCTAGGAGTAGCGCGACGTTTTTGCATAACGTTTTCGTTCCGGGCCACTTTATTGTAAAAAGTAATATTCTCTTGGCCCAAGTCCAGCAGGAGCAGCGGAGCAGATGTATGATGACCGATGGTGGAAAAATATACACAGAATATATATCTTTATTTTAAGCGGATCTTATTGCCTTTTCTTCGACGGTCTAATATCTCGATCGATCCGATCGAGTAACCATGCCTTAGCTTGAAATTCGTTCGGGTGAAGCAATACTCCAGCATGAACTCCAGGATAGATAAGTTAGGTTTTATTAGAGAGAAATATGTATGTATACTGTGAACTGGGCATATCATCGCTCGGCTGGTCGAAGGCGAGACCTGCATGAACACAACTCTGGGCTGCGAGACTTTCAGAATTTTTTCATCTCTTGAATAGTTCAATCTACAGAATTCACGGATCCTGAGGCGTTTCCGCTCAATCCGACGCGAACGGGCCCGGTCTCGTCTGCTTTTCAGGAATTCTTCAATATATACATTGACACATCGACTGTCTACAAATCACTGGTGTACCAATTGGAATTGATAGTATCTGGGTTTATATTAGGGTTGTCGTATTCCGATTCGACGTCCATCACCCCGGTGTGCATTGGACTGCTGTAGTTCATCAGCGGACTCAAAGCCCCGGTCGAAATATTGTCGATTTTGACTTCCTGCCCATAGCCTGGAAAAATACATTATGTTTCAGTATTCCATATTATTCTATCGACCGGTGTAGCTAACCTAAAGGCTTCTCGCATAAAAATCACACGCAATCCGAGGAACAAAGCCATAATAATCGATGAGATCAGCGCGCCTGCCATCCGGTTTCCGGCAGGCAGGAAGACTCAATGCGACTCCGAGAAATCGATCTTCATGCGGTTCGCTAACAAAACTCTTGACCCAAAAAATGAACGGAACGAGATGAACAGGCGAATCGCTCCTCAAAGCAGAGAGAAGCGATCAGGCTGGATGCGAGAAGGTTTCATCTCATAACGAAACGTCTGCCTCATGTCCTCCTCCGGGAGCGCGGGACAACAGATGAGATGGGTACCATCGAAATCTCAGACTCACCTCAATCCGGAATCCCCTCGAGCAGCGTCAGTGATTCGGGGGTGATCGAGGATAAGGTTAGTCTTACAAATTTAAAATTTCTCCGTCCTAAAAATTGTTTTCACGACTGGGTGCGGTCTCGGTGACCTCGCTCGATTGCGATTCGTTCCTCATGTACGGATCGCTTCGAGGTTCTAATTGAATGTCGCCGCTCTAGCAGGGCTGAGACGAAAACTCTGGACAGGAGTCCTCTCCCCAATGGACGCTCTGGGCTGATTGATAACCTGCCCTGGTCCGGATTCCGAGGAAGTAGGAGCGTAGTGAATTACTTGCCATTCGATGATATGCACTCACAAAAGATCTTCCGGCTGGGACCACGCGTTATAAATTTAAGCTGTGTTTCGCTCGTCCCAATCCACTCTCTTACAGCCATCCATGTTTCGCGCTCGTTTCGCGTGCGGTATTATAAATTATGGTGATGTAGATATTCCAGTTATGTTATTGGACTGAACTGTTTCATCAGTACATTAAGCTTCGACAGAACTTCCTCAAAGTAATCAGGCATTGATTCGGGAGGAGTCTGGTATACTCATTGTGAAAGTCGTTTTCAATGGATCTCTCGTCTCTGTCGTATTAAGATCGCCTGAGCCCCTCATCTCGAATAAGGTTATCGGCTTTTCTCCACCACGTCTCTAGGCTCGTCTAAACTTTGTTCTCGAAAGTTGTTCATGGGTCATTCGTTTGAAAATGTTTGAGGTATGAGGTCGTTCCCACCTCAATAGGACTAGTTCGATGTTTTGATTAGAGATTGTTGCTCAAAACAAACGCCTCACCCTGGGCTGCGTAATTATTATTGTTGTTCTGAGCGGGACGGGGTCCACCCGGAACTCCTTGAGGAGGTGCCGGATACATTGCAGGGTTATAGCCGTCGGGGTCGAAGCCTAGATCCATGGGGTCGCCGTGGGGTGGTTGAGGGGTCACGTGGTCTCCAGGTCGCATCAGACCGGCATTGAGCTCCATGGAAAGTCTCTTTTTGTAGTCCTGTGATTTGTCATCGGACATTCGGAAAAGTACTGCTGCCGCATAAGTGGCTGTAAGAGGAACTCAGTGTTATTCGAAGCTTGCTCTCATGTGACTCCCGCTCTTATCAGAATCTACGAGAGAAGCACACGCGCAACGGATTTTCCGGTGATGTCGAGCGACTTACCGACTGCTTCGTTCCCAGATCTCAAAAGTTCGGTAAGGGGTCCTGTCGCTCCGTCTGCTTCGATTTGGTCGGCGCCTTCACGATCCGCCGCCAGTTCGCATAGTACACCAGCTGCGACTCGCTGCACGTTTTCAACCTGTGGGGGCGTTGAAAGATAGTTTTCATACGAGCTCGAAGCGAGTGCCCAATGTGGACTTCCTCTGGGGCAGGGCGGACCCCTGTCCGAACGTCTAGATGAGGTTTAGCGTGAATCGGACTCACCTCTGAGTACAGAAGTTGAACGAAGACCGGAATGACGTGCAGTGAACGAATCAAAGCGCGATTGTGGCCCTCTTTCGAAAGAATATGAAGTGCTCCCACGGTGCCTTCGACGATTTCCTCCATTCCCACACCGTCGATCAAGGGTGCGGGACCGCCGCTCGCTCTGCTCGCCGTCATGTCACCATAGGCCTTGTGGAGAATTTGGGTGAACCTCTGAATGGCTCCGTGATCCCGTAGAGGAGCGTGGTTGTCGGGATAAAGCGCTAAGTTCCGAATGAGTCCTATGACTGCCTTAATCAGAGGCCACCTAGACGGCGGATGCAGGAGTTTGACGATCACTTGTAAGCCGTACGTCCTCCGGATTGCTTGTTGGGCGAGTTCGGCTTCCGGATGGCGACAAGTCAGATGTCGAAGGGCACAAATTGCAGGCTCGGTGATCTCTTCACGGTCGCCGGCTTGGATGACCGTGTTCACCAGGGCCTCGCATCCTCCCACGCGGCAAACGATGGATTTGTTCCGTTGGTTATTGCACGTAAGATTCGATAGGATGCCGGCTGCACATGTAACCACGTTCATGTCCTGGGATGAGAGCAGGGAAACGAGTCTTCGAAGCAGTTCTTCGAGATTATCCTGGAAGGAAAAATTATTCGTAAGTACTCGGTAGAGGTCGAGAGAGTCGATGTTGCGGAATCAGGGGTGGAAGATCCCGAGCGCGATTCGACTCAATGGAGGACTCTCAAGCGAATTCTGTCGGGAGAGTGTTTCGAGCTCTCTCGAAGGATCACCTGTCGGATGGCAGCATCAGATAGATTGCGAAGTGTCCAGAGACAGTTGAGGACCAGGCGTTCAGATGAGTTGTTCAGATGCTGAGCTAACGCCTGCACACCACCAGCCTCCACGATAGCTGGCTTATTCGAGCAGCACACTGATAGCACCTGCGGACAATCGGCCAAGCTTTCATTAGGATATGAATATCGTGAGATATATATCGAATGATATACATTTGTTATACTATGTATCTATCTCGATGATTTCTCGTATCGAAATTCGTCACCCTGACCCTACCTTGAGCACTCTGGTGGTGGTCCACAGCAGTTTCTCGTATGAGTAAATTCGCAAGATCCGGACGAGTTCGGTTGGTCCTCCCGAGGCGAGAATGACCAACTTCGACTCCTGATTTCCGTAGGCCAGGATCTGCAGGCAGTCGGTGACGATTGCCAAGAATTTCACGTTGTTCCTCTGGAGTAGCGACACCATTTTCTGGAGTCCTCCAGCGAGTCGGACCGCCATTTTGGATCCATCCTGGTGCAATAGCAGGTTGTGGAGCGTTGTGATTGCGTAAAAAAGCACACTTTCCACTGGCGACGAGAGAAGTTTGACCAACGCGGATATACCTCCAGATTTGAATATGGCCAATAAACCTTGCTGGTGTTGCGACAAGTTATGAAGCGTGCCGGCAGCGTTGCGCGTCGTTTCCAGATCGTTCGAGGTTGTCATGGCCTTTACGAGAGCCGCCACCATTTGAGATGAATTCATGATGGCGTGCCGAGAAGCCTCCTTCCTCGAGAGCTGGTGAACCATGACGGCCGCCTGCCCGACCACTACTTGATCCTCGTCATTCAGCAGTTTTATTAGCTCTGGGATAGCCCGCGTGGCCAGGTCGGCATCGTCTTGGTAGTTGATCAGATTCACAACGGCATGTCGCAGCATTTGCGACGGTTCCGATAAACGCTGTACCGCTGTGGGTTGATTCGGGTCGTATTGGGTCGATGGAATTTCGAGACCCTCGTCGAGAGTCTCGGGAAACATCGCGGCCCGGACTCTCTGCGACCTCGTTTGGCTCAGTTGTTGGCCAACGTCGTCAACGCTCTGATCTCCTCCCATATGACTTCCGTAGCTCCTCCCCGAGTTCGAACCGTGATCCCAATCGAACATCAAGCCGTCCTCCGGCTGTCCGGTGCAAGACACTGGCCCTGCGCTCATGATTCCTGAGTCATGACCCGTACCAGTATTTCCTGCCAAGTACGAATCCTGTTGCCACATCACAAGTTCCTGTTCCCGGGAAAGATCGGTGCCGACCACAGGCCCTCCTCTCTGTTGTGGTTGCTGCAGCTGTTGTTGTGAGACTGAAAGGCCATCAATCCCCCGATTGAGTACCCCGTATCAGGCACGACATGATTGAGATGAACCGAATACACTTCCGAACCGTCAAAGATGGAGCAAGTTTCAAGCCCTCGGACGGAGACGGACAGAGTATTTCTTTACGAGAGATTGACACTACTCGAACTAACCAGACTGTTGTTGGTGCCGAAGCACTGTTTGTTGAACGGTCGCAAAGCTCATTGTAGTTCTGAGCTCCACTGGACATCAGAGACGAGAGATCCACTCTGAAAGGCGCGAAAGATCCAAAGATCCAGCTTGGACAGGAAATAAGCTCTCCGGGTGCGGGAATGCGTGAACGGCGGCTCCGGTAGAGCCGTCGGAGCACTGCTTCCTACCTATGTGGAACGACAATGAAACCGAGCGTTTTGGCGACCAGGTCGTGGCCCCGCTCGCTTACTTGAGCCAACGGCAGTGGGACAATGAAAGGGCGTCACTTTCCACCATGACCGTCAACTACGATTCCTAATTTTCGCTTCCGCGAAAGGAAATGCTTCCATAAGGTTTCCAATAATTTTTCTGCAGCCGACTCGCGAAGAATCACTATCAGTGAATGAAAGTGAACACGACTGAAGCTACGGAACCGCGGCCTTGTTTCCCACAATTATTGTTATTATTGATCTAATTTATTTATTCGATTCTATAGTAAATCGAGGGAGGAGCGCTCCTTCCCCTCCCGAACGAGTGTAAGATCGGAACAAGCTTGCAAACAGAGCTCAGTACCGTCGCGGAGGAGGTCCGAGCGCGAGCTCCGCGACCGCCTCTCAAATACTTGGAACTGTCAGAAAATCGGAGCTGCCCGCTGACCGAGTCTATCGGGAGCTGTTCGAAAGCTGTCACTACGAACCACACAGCTGAGCATGCCTCGGTCCCTACAGTTCCTATCATCTGTATCGTGAACGATACGTACCTTTAAAACTCGAGCATCTTGGATGTTCGTGATCGCTATATTGCGATTATTCGGAAGGAGCTTCCAACACTCTAGACACACTTTGTTGGACGCTGTCGGTGAACATCAAAGAAACTGTGACGTCAGAAGCCTCCTGAGAGGCCGAGCCATGAGCGAGGACGAAGAACTGCTTCGAAAACATGGCGGCTCCCTCGCCCGCCGCCGCCTTATCCGCCTCTCGGTTTTCGAATTCGTCCACCGGTCCCACCGGGTCGGAGCGCTCCGTGTTCCTTCGTCCACTGGGAACTCCTTCCTTTTCAAAATAACAGGTCGGATGGATAGACGTACGCGTCGTGCAATGACGTCTGCCCGCTCTGTCTGAGAAAATTCGAGACGCTTCCTTTGTGATTTCGAAAAGTAATCAGCTCGCTTGGATCTCGTACCGCTACTGCTCCCCGAGCTCCCCCATCGCCACCCATGTCCCTTCCCCTGTGCACTCCGCTCGGAGGAGAGCAGCGGGCGGATGGATTCAAAGGAACGAAGGAAAACGAGGTCCTCACCTATGGATGGGTCGGCAGAGAGTATCAGGCGGCGAGATCGGGCGGCTCCTTACACCAGAGCCATTCCTGGATCCTAGAGAAATAGCAACGCTTCCATTCCTCACCTGTGGTGGGAAAATTCCCTCCGCGCCCTGGACAGCATGATCATGACTCATGACGACCCATGACCAGTCTAAGGGGTCAAGAGGCTAATATTTTGCGGGAACGCTCGAGCGAGCACCGATGTCGTTCATATGTCGCGCGGGATCGCGAGCGAGGTCATCTCATCGGGAAGGCGTACATGGATGGTGTCGTCCTCGAATGAATTCTTTGACCGAATTCCCGCAATTCGGACATCGTCATGAGGATGATTTTCCATCGTTCCACAGATGGGGAGATCTCTCTTCAGATTGAGGGAACAGCAAAGACTGAAAATGTGCCTAATCCGCCTGTGCGGAGATCGTATATTATCTGTACAGGTTGAATATCGAAGCCAGCTCATCCATGGTAAAACAGTCGGAATTTATTCTAATTTGCCTAGCGTAGCCGACAGCTCCTGACAAAATGCGTTCCCAGCGATTGGCTCTTCCTCGTATCTCGGCCTCGATGGAGCAGGGCACGAGGGCGAGGGCTTGGTACCGTCTTTTGTGCGTGAATACATATTTTCCTAGTGATAGTGATTCGAGATTGTTGGCAAATGCATGCGTTCGCCCAGCTGGTGATAGTGTAGATGGAAATGCATTTGCTGCTGTACAGTTTCGACGATGCGTTCTTCTGCTTTGACCAACGCTGCCTTCCCGCTCACGTATTTCGCGTGCAGATCCTGAACGAAGCTCACTGTGAAAAATATCGCTGCGTTCGTAGGATAGGCGCGTATCAAGGCAGAGTTGAGACCTCGGAAGAAGCTGCGACCGCCTTCCTGCGCATACATCGATCGGGCCGTTTGAGTCAATCCTTTCGCCGTGGCTGAACTCTGTATTCGGGATTTGATAACGTCCACGGGGTATGAAACCACCCATGAGACGACACCTGCCAAACCACCGGCCATCAGGAGCGCCGACGTGCTCAAGTTTTGCTCGTCATCGGATCGAAACATCGAGCTGTTCGTGAAGAACTCGTAGCTTGCGAAGTAAGCACCGAGAGCCGGTCCGTCACGGAGGAGAGTCGATCCAAGTCCTCTTGTCAGGGCTCTGAGACCTCCTTCTCTCAGGACAATTCTACGCACGCAGTCAGCCGGCCCCGCGTAAGTGGCTCGCTGTGTAATCGCGGTCGGTGTGGTATCGGCTTGTACCTGCAGTCGAGTTTTGACCAGTTCCAGTGGGCTCGTGACGAAACTTTGTACGGAGCCTGTAATGAAGACGACTGAAATTAATCATGACTTCTCCAAGTGTGGTCAACTATCGAGCTCCGGTCAGAACTCTCCGGTTGGCTGATTGATGGTTTGCGGAATTACCTGCCACCATTCCCGCGACGAAATGCGTTTTCAGTGAATCCTGGTCTGAGAACTGTCTCGAGGTACATCCGTAAACTCCGAAAACTATCGCGTTAACAACCGACACGCCGACCATCGGCGAGGACATCCCGCGGAACAATCCAGAAACGGAGTCCTTGGCAATTATGCTCCTCAGACAGTGGAATGTGCCCCGGTAGACTGGATTCCGGGGATCCTGCGTCTGGAGTCGTACCTTCACGGTGTCGAACGGATGCCCGACAAGAACTCCAGCGCAGCCTGATCGGAGAAGCAAACGTTCAGAATTCGTCCGAATAGGTCAGCCCGCCTTATTCTGGATCATCTCGTGAACGTCGGAATCAGGGGAAGAATACTTGCCGCCAATGCAACCGGCCACGAAATCCATATGCGTCGTCTGGTTGCTCGATCAGGGATTTTGGTCGATAGGCTGGTTACGGAGGGTAGTTTTCTTTGCTTGGAAATCTGGATTCCTGGAATAGCCAGACATGTATCCGGTTCTGAGCTACGCTCTCGCACTCTCCTGGCGTATCTCTCCCGCATGTCCGAGCGATTTGCTCTGACTACTTTTTCTTGTGCGAACTTTGACGTCTGCGACAGGACCGAGACACGGAACTCCAGCCCGGGGCTGTCAGCGGAGGCAAATCCGAAAACTCACTTTTGAATCGATGGAATTATACGGGTTTAAATCTGAACTTTCTGTACACTTGGAACGATTTTTCGTCTCTCAGGAGCGACTCGAGCCAGCTCATCCTAGTCAGAACTCATTCGTCATTTGCGTCTGCCAGTTCGGAGGATGATCACAAATTTAAGTATCGCGATGTGTTGTCCGCGGAGAGAGTTTTACTGCTTCGAAGACTTTTCCTTATCGGTCTATATAGCCGGACGGCTCGCTTTCGCGTTCGAGGTGCATCCTCAAGATGCGCATAGATTGCGGGCCGACCTCACACAAGCTGTACCTTCTCGCTGGCCGTACGCTGTTTCTGATACGCGTATTCCAAACACTCGAGAATCTTCGAAAAGCGGATGGGAGCATATGCACGCCTGGACGAATTTTCGTTCACCGTATCGAGCCTGGAAAATTCCTGCGAGTTTCTATCAGCGAGATCGTCCCACTCAAATGACCCCCACAAAACAGACCTCAAAAAGAGATCTATTTATGATAAACCTATGATAATTGTCTGTTTCGGGCACTCGTTTAAATTGGTTGTTGACTGCAAGGAAGGCTGCGGGCAATGCCTCGCTCTTCCTGCCCAGCATTGTTTTGCCACGAACATTCCATCATGCGTAATGAGAACTCTCGAAAAAACCGGTCGAGCTTTCCCAATCGCGGGGCTATAAACCAAATTCGAATTACCTTCCGGAGCGAAAGGTCCGTCTGCGTATCGTCGGGGACTCCTTTAGACACCGTAATTCTTCGAATAGGAGCCAGGGTCGTCTCGTGCATTATGTGCTACATAATGCGCAGGCGATCGTTCTATCTCCCGACGATAGAGCTCTCACGGAATTCAGGGAAATTTAATGTAGCCCGACTATCGATCTTCAGTCGGATCATCGTTTCTGGAATGACCGGTTCGCACATCGAGACGAATTCAGCCCCACGAGGATCAAAGCCAGTACTGGAACATCATTGAAGAAAGACGGGAAATTAGTATATTTCCTTTTCTCTGTGATTGTAAACGGAGAATTGGGACTTTGGAATGAGTACATCAGCTGTGTTCCCCAAATCGTGAAGAGCTGTTGACATGGGAGGTGGGAATCGCTCATTGCGTACAGGTCGATTCCGGTGGCACTTCTATCAGACAAAATTCACTCACGTCTCGGAAAATCAGAATCCGCAATCGACTGCCTCTCGATGATGGAGGAAACGGGAATCGCCCGATAGATTGCCTACTCCCATTCGATAGTGTTTCGAATGCTCCACTCTCAAAGAATTTTCATTGCTCGAGTCACCATCTCAGGAAATACTGATTACGGATTTGCTTTGTATCTGAGTTGGAGCGGCACCCTCATAGGGGAGAAGGGACTGGTTGACAGCGGGCTAACATGCAGAATAGTCCATGGTCCGAATTTTGATGATACCGATTCTGGGAGCCCCCTCACCTCTCGGCTCTTTTTCCTCGCTTTCTGAAGGGCTTCATCAAGAGAGTCGTGAATTCGTAAATGCGTTTGTCTCATTAGTCCTATATTGGATTTTAGTATGAGGTTCCACATGTCCCCTTTATTTAGTTTCACATATTGCACTACTGCGCACGCTCACTTTTGAAGAGATCATATCAGGCCACGTCGGTCCCAGTAAGATGGTAGTCGAGTTGTATGCGACTCAATACTTTTACGAGGTAGTTTCTCAGTTGAACTCGTTTCATTTATATCTCCCCTCCGTGGGTTGTTGTATCTTACATTCCTGTGTAGGCCTTAGCTGAGCTGGCTCGGAAATCAAGGATATCGAAACTTTCTCCCACGGTCGATTTTCGCCAAGAAACAGTTCAGGAGTAGAAAGTCTTGTTTCTAGTCATTCATACCCTCCTGGCACGCCTTGTGGCGAACCTTGCAGCGCTGAAAGAGCGTTCAGCCGGTACGTTCGATGGTCGCATGGTGTCCTGGAACTCGTACAAGGTCGGCGGGAGGGCTCTCGTCTTTACTCCCTGATTTGCCGCAAAGCTCTCAAGGTCAGCGGAGCATTAATCAGATGACGCTCCGACGCCGTCTTCAGCGGTACCACGGAATGGTAATTGTAATATATAATTGATATAAAATTCATCGTCTGATGAATCTCTGGTCGGCAGTGACGTCGAAGAGGTCCTCACGGCTCTGCGCGTCTCGATAATTCGTAACTTGGCGATGGGATTGGCGATGTCGCCCCGATCCAGGAAGCAATCCCCCTAACCAAGTCCGGCGAAGTTTATGCGGGCGTCATCGAGCATCACGTCCAGCTCAGATGAAACGCTGCGCTTTCCCAGGTATCTCGCAAGCCGTGGAAGCACCCCTCTGCGCTGATGGAGACAACGACACTGGTTGATATAGAGAGCCTCCGTCGTGTCGAGGTTCACTTTCCGCGACAATGCCTGAGGAACAGATGATGGAATTGAATGATTGATGATGAAATGGTGCGTAGATCTGAGCATCACAAATCACATAAAGGAAACCAGATTCTCAAGCCCTCGACGTCGATTCCCTTGAATTGAAACGAGAAAATTCTACATACCGAATGTCTGATGATTCATCAAGCTGCATATCAAAGAATCTGACGATCGTTCAGAACCGGGAATCCACCTGCAGCGCGAGGTCTGAATTCCTGATTGTGATGTGCGCCCTGGAGCGCCGCTCAGGCGCTTTCTCCACGTGGCGCAGGCTTTCGACGAGCTACGAGCTCTTGTCTATCGAGCAGGTCAACATCGCTCACCAGAAATACCGTTGTCAGAGACTTCGTGTACAATCCCTTGATGGGCTCGACCACAGCGAGAGAATTGCGCACTATTCGTAGCGTCGAACAGTTCCAACGAAAAGGAACGTCGAGGACGGATAAGAGATCCGGAGTCTCTATGTCTTCGGCGGTTTTTACACCGAGGCCATTCGGGCCTGACCGCCGCTGAAACATTCTACATACCTTGCGCGCTCCGGCGATCGAAAAACCTCCCCGGCCGCGGATTCGAGGGGCACCACCAAGGAGCTTTTCGCGCTTCAAGTCCTCGTCCTCATCGACCATACCTGGAGAATCTCAGTTGAACAAATCCAGATGAATACATGCATTGCAGGGACAGGTGCTGGACTAGGAGTACGGAGAGACGGGGAGCGATACGCAAAGTATCATCTTGACACGATTTTTCGACGTGCATAACCGTCTACCTCCTCGGCCTGTCGCGGTCGATTCTTCGACGTACCTCCCTCTTGCGCTGGATTCTGCAGCGCCGCGAGCCGCCAGGGGGACGTATATCTCGCTAGTCGCTCGACCCTCATCTCGAAGTCTCCCAGTCCCAGCATTTGCTCTCGCGCACCAAAGTCGACCCCGTTCTCCCCGACGTCTTCCGAATCCTGTCTATCTCCTCTTCCGCCTTGGAGCGCTTCTTTCCTCGATAAACTTGCCGAGCTCTTTCATCACGGACGCGGCGTCGGGCTTGAGACCCGGAAGGTTGACCTAGTCGAGAGAACCTCGCTCCGAAGACACCGCCAAGGACTGCAAGAAATTCTCGGGGGTTACGGTTGCCCAGAACCTCATTATCAGGGCCAGCTGCTAGTCATCGAGACACGGGATGGTCCTTAAGCACTGCAAGGCTACTCCTCGGAATCATACAATGATATCCCATCCTCATGTTTCTGATACAGTCGGACATGCCTCGAAGAAGGTTCAAAATGTCGTGTCGTCTACCCATACGGCGGACACAGACAACTCATCGCCGACAACTCATCGCCGGACAAGTCATCGCCGGACAAGTCATCGCCAAATGTATTGGAGTGAATTCTAAAAAAAATGGTGCCTCGTCTCTACGAAAGGTCTACAGGGGGACGGACCGCGCCAGCGTGGATATAAATTCCGAAGAAGCGAAGGGACACGGAGGGCATGTCTTGTATTGAATGATCTGCTTCCTCCTGATTCTATGGAAATTAGGTTTCGAAGAAACACTTCATTTAAGACCATGAAAACCGATCGTCCGCTCTCAAATCGTCTTGAATGCGGACTTAAGAAGTACTTCAACTCACGGCGTGTTCCTTTTTCCATTCCGATATCTTTGTCGATACTCTTTCGAAGCAACAAAACACAAATGAGAAAAGTCGCGGAAACAAGCTCCTCTGGAGTCATATGAATCATCGACTTTGGCTGTCTCTCCACTTCATTGTGACCGAAGCGGAGTCGGAAAAGATTGTTGCCCGCGTCTTCCCATGTTCCGACGAGATTTCGACGCATTGGGGGTGTCAAAGGGTCTGGGCAAAACCTATGCAAACTCTGCCCTCCGAAGCCGATCTGATCGAGTGGGGTCTAATTTTTCTTGGAAGGTAATTTCGAGAGGAACATTTTCCGCATGGTCCCGGATCCGATCGCACCTCGTGGTCCCCGTAAACGCCCGAAGAAGTTTTACCTTCGGACCCTTCTATCTCGAGAACGGCTGCAGCTACAGAGTCGAGCAATAGCGCGATCGAAAGCTCTCGACGAGAGCTTTCGTTCGAGACCCCTCTCGACCAAATCGGCCTCTTCTAAGGCTTTGAAAATAGGGGACCCCAGTTTTCTAATACGGCGTTCTAGTACTTCTACACGAGACGCACCTTTGATAATATGTCAGATAGAAGTCCCAAGTGTCCCCCGACCATTAGCCATCAAACCGGGAAAATCGAAGGGGTGCAACTTGCTTTAGAAAAATTATCTTTACCCCGGCAAAAATCCGTATTTTCACGGAATTTTCCCGATTCGCCCTTCTTCGCCCGATTACTCCGAAACTAGCGCCGGGCGCCCGTTTCTGAGCCCGGAATCAGAAAGCTGACGCCGAGAGCTTTCGATTGCACCCGCTGGTTGTCCGATTCGGCCTCAGGGACAGGAGAAAACGTCCATACTCAGAGTTTTCATCCAATCCCATTGAGGAAGCACATGGATATTGCAATTCAGGGTGACACTCATTAGGGCTCATCGGGTATGGGGAGATGAATACGAACTATAGTCCTTCATGAAGATTACTACTTTATTCAGTCATTAGCTCCATCCGCCTCTGACTCCGTTTCGCCTCCAGACGGCAAAAATAGATTTTCCAGGTTCGCTGCCGGACGAGGAATGGTGTCGAGATGTCTCGCATGAGAGAGATAGAAAACCGCAGCGGAAACGTGCGAACAACAGCCCACCGTCCTGTTACCATTTGGACATTC